CCCCTTTCCACGGAGGGCCTCAGAGACTACATTTCCCACCATGCCCTGCGCCCCTAGCAGACGCTGGACCGGGCGGAGGGCAGGGGAAACGACATTTTCTGTAAGGCTCTACCCTCATCTTCTGGTCAAAGGTTGTATAAACGTGGAAGAGTCGGAATTCAGGACTCTCGCGAGGGAGGGTGGCTCGGGGAGGGCTCAGAACTACGCTTCCCACAATGCACCTCTCCCTCCCCGTACGGGCCGCGTCTCCCTGTTCTCTCGCGAGAATTGCCAGGAAGTCGGTCAAGGGAGGAGGAAGAAGAAGAAGCGGAAGCGGAGGGTGGGAGATTTCGAGGCTGCGGGAAGCCGGCCTGGTGAGAAAAGGGGAACGCCGACGAAGGGAGACCCGGAACCCCAAGACAAGGCCCGCCATGGCCGAGACGGACCCCAAGACCGTGCAGGACCTCACGGCGGTGGTGAGGGCAGCCTTCGAGGCACCGGAGCAGCCGCGGGGGATGTCGGGAGAGAGAGGGGGGGCGACAGAGAGAGGGAGAGCGCCCCGCCTGGCGCTGTTGCTATGGTGACGGCGGAAGGGCTCCTCCGTGGGCGGGTGAGGGGGGGAGAAAACCGTTAGGGTCGCTATGGCGACATGGGAGGGGTCAGTAGTAGCCGTGGAGACGAGGGCGGGCGGTTGAGGGGTGGGGAGGTCTGGTTACCATGGAGACGGAGGTGGGGCATGACTGGTTGTCCTGGAAACCCACGTCTGTTACAAGGAGTTGCCCTGCAGGGTTGTTGTGCTCCCTGTGCCTCAAAACAGACTGTTGACACAACAGCCCTGCCAGGTAGTCTGGGCTAAGATTATCCCACCTGTTAGCACAACAGCTCTGCCAGGTAGTCTGGGCTGAGATTATCCCACCTGTTGACACAACAGCCCTTCCAGGTAGTCTGGGCTGAGATTATCCCAAGGGGTGGGGGGGTCTGGTTACCATGGAGACGGGGGTGGGGCATGACTGGTTGTCCTGGAAACCCACGTCTGTTAGAAGGAGTTGCCCTGCAGGGTTGTTGTGCTCCCTGTGCCTCCAAACAGACTGTTGACACAACAGCCCTGACAGGTAGTCTGGGCTGAGATTATCCCATTTATTGACACAACAGCCCTGCCAGGTAGTCTGGGCTGAGATTATCCCACAGCGCCCAGCCTTCTCGTTTTAGGAGTGTTGAGAGGGAGAGAGTTTTGGGGGAAGCAAAGAGAAATCGGTGTCCAGGGCGAGGCTACCTGAACCCAGGGCACGAACGAAAGATACCTTCTGGGCACAGCCTGAAATGATTGAGTTGAAAGCCCTGTTCCTCTCCTCCTCAGGTGCAGACCCTGTTGCAACAAATGCAAGACAAGTTTCAGACCATGTCGGACCAGATCATCGGCCGGAATATCCTTTGAACGTCTTCTCATGTCCGTGGAGTCTCTCGTGTCAATCTGGGGTTCTGGTGACCTCTATAAAAGATTGAATCCTGGAGCGGGAAGGGGGCCTGTAAGGTCATTGAGTCCAACCCGAATCCAAATCAAAGCAGATCCAAATCAAAGCAGAGGGTAGTCCAGTTTTCTCCTGAAGGCCTCCAGCATTGAAGTGCTCACCACCTCCCAAGGTCATCGGTCCCATCGTACTGCTCTAACAAGATATTTTCCCCAATATTCAGCCTAAATCTGGCTTCCTGTAACTTGAACCCCCATTATTATGTGTGATTATTACGTTATTCAAGCAAGCTGTTTTATTATAAAGACCTCCTGTTTTCCTGTGATGTTGTTGCAATCTGATGGAAACGGCACAGGAGGGAGAGCCATTTTTAGTAGCTCTTCCTCCCCACATACATGCATTCATTCTTTACCCGAGACCCTTGGAGATGCAACACTGCCTAAGTATCTTTCATAAATTAGGAAGGATACGGGATGGAAATATAGATGTATAGATGGAAATGTAGACCCTTACCCAGTGCCCTTCTGATGCTTTGGACTGCAGTTCTCATTGTTGAATATAGTTGTCTTGTGTCCTCTCTGATATATTTCCCTTTGTTAACTAAATGTTGGATTTGGACGGGCTAGTGGCCTGATCTAGAAGAGCTGTTCCTAAATTCTTGGCGAGTCGTAGACCAAATCATCTGAAGGTTACCACGTTGGAGAAGGTGGTTCTCCAGTTTTCTAAGCAGGAAAAAAAAAAAACTTTTCCAGGATCATTATCCAGTGGCCTTTAAATTGAGCAACAGACATGAAAACTGCATTGAAAAAGAGTTGTTTGTTGAGACATGCTCTCCTCTGTATTTCCTTTGGATGTTTAGTAAATATTGATACTTTAAAACTAATATTTGGTGCTTTAGAACATTTGCTCCTTGAGAACATTCAGATAGTAGAAAAGAAATTACAAGTTAAATTTCACAGTATTCTCTTGCAGAAATTTTTAAAAATTGATCAGTATTATCTGCATATGTGAAGTAGTCCTGAGAAGGAGATTATTAAAGGCTTACAGCCAAATATGAACTCTGGGCTTTGTGATTGGTGGCTTTGGTCCCCTGGCAGTCTACAGCCGCCCGTGTTGATGGCTTTAAAAAGAGACTAGATGATTAATGGGGAATAAGGCTGCTAGCAATAAAGGATCTATGGCTATTAATATTATGTATTTATAAAGCACTTAAGGTTTTCTAAATGCTGTGTAAATATCGAAAGATGAGATGTTTCCTGTTCATCATAGTCACAATATAAAAAGAAAAGGGTGTGGGGGGAGGAAAGCAAGGGAACAGTAATGCCTCCTCTGGCTTACAGAGGGATGGGGGCAGGTTATTTTCAGTTCTAATAGGTGTTCTTCCTTATGGGGAAAGGCAACACAAATTCCCTGAAAGTAATTCTTTTGTTGCTGATATATGATAACAGGCAAGTCTACTCTTTGCCAAGCTGATCTTCTTGGGAGGCAGGGAGTATAACCAGCAGCTTTTAGTCATTAGTTTTAGATGGCTGAAGCTGGAGTAAGTTGCTTTTCAGAATCAGAGGGAGTGGACCTCTGAATAGCTGTTGTGTTTGAATAGGAGATTGCTGTTGTGCTCATGGCATGGTGTGTTTATACAGATCTTTTATCAGCATGTGATTGTCATGATGAGTTAGAAGACATGAACATGGAGAGGATTTCGGTTTCTCAGCAGGAGTATTATTATTTTATAATAACTAATAATAAAAATATCTGAAATAACAGGAAGACCAAGTGTTCCCTAGCTTTAAAGAAGCCTTTAAAGATTGAAATTAAAAGATGGTAACTGTACAAAGCCACATGACTTCTGTCTTTTCCTTAACGTGGATCCACTTGATGACATGAGCTGTCGTATCGATGATCTGGAGAAGAATATTGCGGATCTCATGACCCAGGCAGGGGTGGAGGAGCTGGAAGGCGAGAATAAGACAACTGCCACCAAGACTTCAAGTGAGGATTTGAAATGATGTGATACCAGCAGACCAAAATTGGCAGGACTGTGATTCCAAAATTGACACAGCCTCTTTGAGGCTCTGGACCTGGAATTAGGATATATACTGCCCTGCAGGGTACTGCAGTGTCATGTGTGTTATGACCATTTAGATGTTCATTTTTGTAAGAGGACCAGGAAAACTGAGACGTACTCCACCCCAAAAAGAAAATTAAGTGTAGACCGTCGTTTCAAAAGTAGGATTAAAGGCATCAAGCAGCACTAGGAATAAGCCACTTCTTTTGAGAACAGAATCAGCAATGTGCCAGTGCCCCTTCTTAGCTTGACCCTTAAACCACTCCAGCAATTTTCAAAAATAGAGCAATACATCTTGAAGCAGATTAAGAGTCGGTTCCAGAGATGGAAAATGTTCCTTCTTTTGGACTGTGTTCCTAGGATTTTACAGCCACCATGGCTCCAGGCCAACGGATTCTGGGAGTTGTAGTCCAAGAAAGTAAAATTTCATGTTTTGTGATTGGACATAAGGAAATAATTGTTTATAAGTTGGGTTATAGTCTAAAAAGACGCAACACAGAAGAAACAAGGGATAGGAAGGGGAAAGTAAATGTGAGATATTAAAGTGGGAACAGTATAATGGCTCTGTTTTCCACCTCACTTCCACATGCTGTGGCTAGCTGAAGTAATTCATAACAGAGGTGATTTTATTTTCTATCATCATTGTTACTTAACTTGTCTTGTTATTTTTCTTCAACAGCTTGCCAATAATCTATGATGGGTGCTGAAAAGAAATCTTTTTACAAATCTACAGGGATTTCAAGACTGTGTTTTTGTCAGTTTTCTGTTTTCAACTACTAGTATGTAAAAGCATTTTTCTACAGTGGTAGATCTTGCATTCTTCATGTACCTTATATAGCTAGATTTGGAAGTTTATAATCTGATTGCTTGTATACTGTGAGCTTCACACACTTTTTTTGAATTACTACCTTCCTGAAACTTCAGTTACTAAAAGAAGTTTGATGGCGTTTAGTGCAAAATGCTAACATGATTTGTGGGGTTTTTTGATGTTGATTTAAAAAGAAGGAAAACACATTCTGCTTTTGCTGTTTTGTAATTCTGTTCACTGGGTGACTACAAAACCATCATACTTTCTGTGAGCCTGAACAACAGATCTGTCATATGTTCATGAGGCACCTTTTGGAATCAAGCACAAGAATGAAAATGTGTTCTAAAAAACAGTCTTTGTGCTGGTATGGTACTGTGTTAGTAATGGATTTAATACACCAGGCACTTTGCTCCTAGGGATTTGAAGTCATGAAACATAATTATTTTTAATTGTTTATCATCAGCCTGGGCAATTTCAAGGTTTTAACTAACGATTTTGGACAGTTCGTATATTAAAGCCATATTGCGGTAATTTGCAAGCCAGTGCTGCCCTGTGAGTAGAATTCTGCATTTACAAAATATCTCTTATGTTTGTTTATAATTATGGAGATTACCTGCTCAGGCTGGTAAATACAGTGCTACAAAGCACAGTGCATCTCAGATCATGATGTGGACTGCTAAATTGGATTGGTGCTAACTGTTGTAGGCTTTTGCACCTCAAAGGTTAGTCAGAGCCCATACGGATGGGCTCAGGTCCAGTGATCCTACAGAACAAGAATGATTGGCTCTAAAATTACAGACCATGCGATCCTTAGCCAGCTTAGCCAGTGGTGAAGAATCATGGGTATGCTTTAGTCTAACAGCTTTTCAAGAGTCCACAAGTAACCCTTCTGGAGAATAAGCTTCCGAATCACAATTCATTTTGCTAGAGTCAAGAATGTCTAAGATTATATTATTTTATGCATAGACCTGTATTGAACAGATCCATCACAGAGTAGGATAGTTGAAAGCAACATCTTAAAATGTTGCACTCTTTGCCTGCTGTTTTTATTCTTTGAAGATGGACATCTATAATCTAACCTGCAGGTAGACGTGCTGAGATTTTCATCTGCTCCTCCGGGCAGCCTGCTGTTTTGTGTACAGATTTGTGGATTTGCCTGCGAAGCCACCATTGGCATGAGAAAAGGGAAAAAGTGAGGATTTTCAGCCTAAACTCACAGAGGAGGGAATCACTGGAACACAACAGCAGTCTTCCTGCACTCCCCATTTCCTAATTGCAGGAGACAGAGAAGGGACTAGTGGAGAGAGGCGTCGCAATGTGTGTCCAATGTCAGTAGGCCTACCTCAGTCTTAGTTGGCAGGGAGAAAGGTTTCATGCGTCTTGTGATTCTGCTCTTCCCCTCCCATTGGCATACCCTCTCCCATCTAGTCTTTCACCTTACTATTTGGTAGTCATTGGTTAAAGACGTTTGTGACTGTGCTCTTAGATCCCTACGAAGTACAAAAAGGAAGACATCTTAGGGATTTTTGGGTGTGGATAATTTAGAGAAGAATACAAGAGCTATGTACGTTGGCTCAGCACAGGCCTATTGGGTCCAGCATTCTGTTCACACCGTGTTCAGACTGTTGCCCACAGAAAATCGACCAGGAGAAGTGCAAAAATGGCCTCATACTGCTGCTGCACCAATTGTATGGTCAGTTCAAACACCATACATATTTCCCTTGCCATCAATGAGCCTTGCCTGTAAAGATGGAGAATGTTATCCCCTAGTAGACTGTCCTATGACAACGTTCATCACTTCAGTAAGTGTAGCCCCCATTGGGGAACTTTAAGAGAATTTACAGTGGTGACTCGCTTGACGATTACCTCGTTAGATGAGGAAATCGCTTGACGATTAGTTTTTTGCGATCGCTAAACAATGATTGAATGGGCTTTTTTTTACTTAACGTTGATCGGTTCCCTGCTTCGGGAACCAATTTTTCGCTTAATGACGATCAAAAACAGCTGATCATCGGGTTTCAAAGTGGCCACCCGCTGTGCAAAATGGCTCCCCACTGTGCTTTAGGACGGATTCCTCGCATTACAGGCACCAGAAAATGGCCGCCCTATGGAGGATCTTCGCTGGATGCTGAGGTATTTCGCCCATTGGAAAGCATTGAACCGGTTTTCAATGCATTTCAATGGACTTTTTTATTTTGCTTGACGAGGATTTCACTTAACAGCGATTTGAATGGAACGAATTATCCTTGTCAAGCAAGGCACCACTGTATAAGGTGGTGCTCTACGTAGCCAGGTTGCCGGTTGTTGTTGCCTGTTGTCTTCACTGCCGCAGTTGGCTGATGTGTGCAAAAGGGCATCAGATCCAAATACGAGCTCAATGAGACCTCCTAAAACTAAACCTGTGCACATACCAGGGTGCTTAAAAGTCACTATGGACTAGAATTCCCACAGTTCCTCTAGAATCATGGCTAATAGACACGCTGAACAGGAGCTTTAGGGAAGTACAGTATTAAAACAGATTTTTCAAGCCCTGGTGATATACATTTATAGTTGGGCTGTAAAAAGTCATCCTAAGAATCTACATACATTCATGTGATTCTGTGGGTGGTGGGTGAGTTGTAGGGCAAGCAACAGCAGTTTTTTTCCTCTACCAGTCAGGATTCCTTAGTTCCATCGGATTGAGAGCTAATCATTTTTAATGGCACTGGTGAAGCGAGGAGGGTCAAAACATAACGGAAGTGTTAATAGCCATAAATTTTGTAACTCCTTGTGTTGCCAGGAAGACACACACACAGTAACCTTGTGCCCTTAGCTACAGCCAAAAAGCTGGCCTTCAACTGTCACTACCTAATCCTAAAATGCCCGGACAGGTTGTGGAGAAAAGTGGGATCCTCATTTCTCAACTAAGTCAATATCATTCCTGTTAATAAAGAGGATTGTCAAAAGTGCAGTCTTTGCCCTCTGTATTAGACTTTCTGACTAAGTCAATATCATTCCTGTTAATAAAGCAAAGAGGATTGTCAAAAGTGCAGTCTTGGCCCTCTGTATTAGACTTTCTAGTCCTGTTATTAACCATGTTTAACAAGACTCTGACATGATTCTAAAATGGAATTCAATGATATCAAGAACCTATGCTACCGAGCATCATTCAAGGATGTCCGATGCATAATAGGGAACTTCCAGTGAGCTGAGGGCAGGCAAAAGTCAGTGCTGCTTTATATAATGCACAATTAACATAGGTTGTCACAATGTCCTGGGTCCACCTTAATTCTAGGGCATCATAAGTGTGAGGAGGGGAAAGTTTTTGGCTGATACATTAGCTATTAATCCCAACTGGAAAAGGCCCATTGAATCAATTGGATTTTAATGAATCAACCTTTATGCAAGTCCCTTTGATTTGTCACATCTACATTGAAATAACAAATCTATGGATATGCCCCCTTTTTATGGTAAAAGTATATCAGAATTTGTCTCCCTCAGAAAAATAAGTCTTGAGCGAATTTCTGTCATCTGTGTTACCTTTTGGTCCAAACACACGAAGATTCTCACGATAAAGGTCTTACAGTGTCCCGAATTATTAGTATTTTGCAAGGTCTGAGCTGTTAAAGGGAGAAACGAGGATTATGCTGCCCGAGGGGGAGGGAAAAGAGCAAGCCTCTTCTGAGAGTCAGCATTCAATAACCATGGTCTTTTAAGTAATTGCGGGAATAAGATGACTTATTCTGCTTCAGTCAAGATTAACTCGTTAGCATTCTCTGTGCGCCTTGTTCATCAGCTTGGAAGGACATTGCTTATTGGAGAAAGGATTGTAAACCCTGATTAATGTTGCTTTCCCCTCTTAAACTGAAAGCACAAAATAGAAGAGCTTTCCCATCTTTGAGCTAAAAGCAAAAAATTATGCAGTCAGAATATTAAGTGAAAAGTTTATTCCACTCAGTCTTATTTCTTTGCTTGTTGATCCTTCAGTCTGAAATTGTCCTAGAAAAAAAACAACAAACGAGATGTCGTCTCAGTTGACCATTGTGCAGTCATAGACCTAACAAATTATGTATCTTTTCTAGAATCTCAGTCTTCTACTTGTGTATTATTTTATTTTATTTGTTGAAAATATTTTTATCCTACCTTTCTCTTTAAATAGAACCCGAGAAACCCTTTTACGAAGGATTTCAGTGTTATTAAGACTCGGAAACCGAGGAAGTAACTTTATCTGAACCTGAATGTCTCAATAGGGCTTCTCTTTGTGTGTCAAATACACACTTCTTACATGAAGCATTGGTATAAAGAATGATGTACACTTTGAACCTAGCTATTTGATCAGAAGAAAAAAAAAGACTGAATTCAGTGGAAGAGAAGTGTTTGTTGTTGAAAACTCATGAGAACATGCTGTCTCAGCTCTGAAGTGCCTTAACCACATTTAAGTTCATGTACACACTTTTCCAGAGATGCGGGGAGAAAACAGAAAACTTGAAGCAGAATCCAGATGTGGACAGCACTGATTGGTTAACATCCATGCTATCACACAGAAATAGACACACTGTTGCAGAAGTTTTGTAGCTTTTTTTTTTTACATCTTCGTAAAGGAAACCCTACTTCTTAAAGCATGCTGGAACTCCATTAATCCAAGTGTAGCTAAAGTTTAATGGCATTTATCTGAAGTAAAATTCATGTCTGGAAGCCATGTCTCTGATCTCTTGCATCGAATGTACCTTAGAATGGAAACTGCAAATTTACAATCAGTGTTTCTCCCTTTTACATTTCACAAGGGAAACAACAAAACCGTGAGGGGGTTGGTGGAAACAAGCCCACACTAATAAACAATTTATTCCAAGCTGATAGTCGGGTCTGAATCACACAGTCACTATGAGATCATTTGATCTTTGATTGATCCCATGTAGGATGATTTTGGGGATGTGTCATGTCTCTATACTGGAAAAACATTGTGTTCCAGGCGAAAATAATACCTCTTGTCCATAAATCTGAATGACTTGATTGGCATAACGTGACAAATACAGATCTTTTACAACTTGCTATTTAAACAGGCTCTTGCAAATTGTGTTACAATTTCGCCATTAGAAAACAACCCAAGTCGTGAATTTGATGGGAGTTGGGAGCCAGAGAAATCTACAGAGCCTCTGAAGTTATTTTTTGAAGCATCATTTGTGCTTGTGAACTTATTACACAGTTTGAAAAGTAATCTGTCATACTGTTGATTACTTTTTCATTACTTTCTGCTAATTTTTGTTTAATAGAGGGAGAGAACAATGTAACTGTCAACAAAATACCTTTAAGGTGCTCCTGAAAAGTAACTAGAAATCATTAGCTGCGACACTAAAACAAACAAATCACCA